CACACACACACACACACACACACACACACACACACACACACACACACACACACAATGCACCCGGGCCCCTTGGCTCCTCCCCAGGCCTGGCCTGTTGCCAACTCTCCCCTTCGCTTCCTCCCTGCAGGTGAGAGTCTGTCCAACCCAGGCAATGTGCAGTTCGTTGCTGACATCCTCCACCACGTGCTGCACTGGGAGCCTGGAGTGGAACACACCAGTGAAACCTCGTACGACGTGCAATACCTGGTGTAAGTACCCGGGCCACAGGGAGACGAAATCCCCTCTAACAGCCAAGCCACAAGTCCCCTTTTACCTTCGCTTGCCGCTCACTCTGGTATCTAACGTGCCAGAAATCTTGTGCTAACTTTCCAGCAGCCCTAATGCTGCCCAGCCCCCGAAAGCTCCTCATTAAGGCGTGACATTTCTGTACAGGTATGGGAGGCAGTTTCCCTGGACAGACACGCACCTCTGGCTGGACCCGGACAAGAGGTGCTTTTTCCCCACAAGAAGGTAGCTGGGAGTTTCCATTATTTTCCCCTCTGAACCCTAAAATCCGTAGCCATGAAACGGCAGCCTGTAAACGTGATGCAGCTGCTAGCTAATAGCTTTCCTGGTGTAGAATTGAACGTTTGGGGAGCCGACCCCAGGCCTGTTACGGGATTACTCAGGGGTCTAGTCACTAAGTGCTAATTCATAAAGCACTCCCAGCCCTCCAGCTGACCAAGATGCTCGCGAGAGTCTGCCGCAGAGCTGGGGGCAGAGATCATTCTGACAAGCTACTTGGGGTTAGTTTGAACAAAGCTCAGGTGGCGGCTGTTAGTCATGTCGCGTAACGCACCACGACAGGGGAGACGCTAGGGTGAGGGGGGCAGGCTAAGAACTAGAATCAAATCACATTGAATCGAGAACTTGAAATGTGTGTGGGCTGGGTGCTCTGTGATGCTGGCTCCTGTGGTTACTCTGAGAAGAAACCTCTCTTGGGCGCACAAGGAGAACCAGTTCTCACCGATTCTGTCATGTTCCACCAGCTACTCTGCGTCTAGCAGACGTGAGACTCTTGGTGGAAGGCAACACCATACACGTGAAACTGAAGCAAGTGCACCTGAGCGTGGGGAACAAGACGGTCTCATTCAAAGACATACAAAAGTACGGCAGACAGTACAGGACGTATGTCAGGAGGTCGACAGACACGCTCCAGGTGAGCTGGCCAGCACTTGTGCCATGGGGCTGAGGGACAGGGCCAAGGGCCCCAGCTGAGACGTTTTGAATGAGGAGTGTGACTGTACCCCAGATCGGCTTTGCCTTTGCACTTTTAAAACCCTAACCCATTCCATGCCCCATATTTCAAACTTGACACACAAGAGGGATACATGCACCAAAAGAGGAAGTACACATCCAGCAGACTGAGACACTGATAGGGTACACGGGGTATTTGGTCCAAAGCATTTTCAAGTGATGCATATGTGTGTCCATCCGTCAATTTCACAAAGTGGGGGGAGGGGGAAGGGTCACAGAAAGTTTTTAAGTTGAAAAGTTGCCAATTTTTAAACTAATTTTCTTTTACAAACAATACATAGTGAGAGCGGCGAGGAGTCCTGTGGCACCTTAGAGACTCCCTGAAGTGTTGGAGCGTAAGTTTCGTGGCAAAGACCCACTTTGTCAGATGCACGTGTCTGACGAAGTGGGTCTTTGCCCACGAAAGCTGATGCTCCAACACTTTGGTTAGTCTCTAAGGTACCACAGGACTCCTCGCTGCTTTTGCAGATTCAGACTAACACGGCTACCCCTCTGATACTTAATACACAGTGAGGGTTTTCTCACCCACGAGACTGCCACACACCCCCGGCCCATCCACGGGACATTTTGTTGAGTCGGTTTTCAGTCAGAGACTGAATGAGAATTTCCCCAAACCCGACACACTGACTGGCTGTGAGCCGTGTGCAATGAAAACAGCTTTGAAAGGGCTGCAGGGGCCAAATCAGTGAAGGAGCCAGGTCCAATTGCCCAGGAGCCGCCCCGAGCCCTGGTCTGCAGCCCCAGGCTGGGCCGTGCTGCGTGCGTGCCAGCTGCCCAAGGTGACTGGCCTCTGGTGACCATTTCAGCAGGTGCAGGAGGAGACCAGCGAGGAGTTCGACATCCCCGGGCTCCTTTGGGGCGAGCGCTACTGCGTCAGCGTAGAACCGCACATCCTCTCCAGGCCGGTCCCCTCCATCCGGACGGAGGAGACGTGCGTCACGATCCCCGAGAACGATGGTGAGTGGACGTGCTGGGGCTGGGGTTGCCACTGGGGTCGGAGCGCCACCCGCTCTCCCAGAGCCATGGGGCCAAGATGTCTCCCACCTCCTGCGCGGGCAGGCACATCCAGGCCATGGGGCTGCCGCCCGTGCACAGCATTGGCCACAGCCACGGCGCAGCAGGCAGAGGGGGAGGAGGGACCGCAAAGACCTGTGCAGGAGGGAAGAGGAGAGTGGGCCGTGGGGTTCAGACCCTCTGAGGTTGCCCTGGCATCTCCCGGAATCAGCCCCCATCCCCTGGCGATGCCCGAAAGCCGCCCTGGAGATGGGAACAGGGTATTTAAGGAAATGACATTGTCACCCTGGGAAAATCTCCCGCAAGAGCATCAGTCAGAGATTACAGCTATTGGGGAGTCCCAAAATCCTATTGCCAGGTGTGACGGCCAGTCGGGGTTCCCCAGATCCTGCAGCCCCGGAGCAGCAAGAACAGACTCCGCCAGCCAGAGAACAGAGAGGGGTTATTGCTCCTCCAGGATACAGCACAGACAGGACGTGGCTACTGGAGTCTGGGCCAGGATGCCTCAGATCCCTCGGGTTAGGGGTGTCCATCGCCCCCTAGACCTTCAGACCTCAGTTTAGGCTCACTCCCTCCTGTTCCCCAGCCAGCAACTGCCCCTTCCACCAAAACCTCCCTCCTTTGTTCCCTGCCTGCCCTCAACCGGTCCGACAGGTTGGGTCTTTGCCTACAGTGACTTAAGGCAGCCGTCCTGCTGGGCAGAGCTACAGGTACCGGCCAGCAGGGGTCACCCCCATCCCACACAGCCACCGGTGGTTGCCCAGATGGTATGGCCTGCCCACCACATCACACCAGACCACAGACATCCTCTCCACCTGCACATCCGCCCCACTCGCACGCATGCCAGCCCTGCTCGCACACACACCTGCCCTGCTCGCACGCCCATCCGCCCCACTCGCACACACGCCTGCCCCGCTCACACGCACATCCGCCCCGCTCGCACACATGCCAGCCCTGCTCGCACACACACCTGCCCTGCTCGCACGCCCGCATGCCCTGCTCGTGTGCACACCTGCCCCGCTCACACGCACATCCGCCCCGCTCGCACACATGCCAGCCCTGCTCGCACACACACCTGCCCTGCTCGCACGCCCGCATGCCCTGCTCGTGTGCACACCTGCCCCGCTCACACGCACATCTGCTCCGCTCGCACGCATGCCAGCCGTGCTCACACACACACTAGTCCCAGGCTGATGTTTTAAGGATTTAAGCCTGAGAAACCTTGCAGAGTCCTGATGGCATATTGGCTAGGCCGGGCTAACCTAGGGCTCCCTCTGCTCTGTGGTGGGAGGGCGCCTCACTTGCTGAGCGAAGGCCCCAGAGACGCTGTGCCTGGCTCTGTCACTGATTCACCAAGTGCCTATGAGTGAGTCCCAGGTTCAGCCGGTGCCTCAGTTTCCCCCCGGTAAAAGGGGGCTGTGCCCCCATTTCACAGGAATGGGTCTTGAAGCCCCGGGGGCTCCTCGGCAGAGCAAAGGCACTAGAGATGGGCCCAGCTTGCCTGAGCCTTAGCAGGTTCGCGCCCCTTCTCCCGGCCGGAGCCACGTGCGCCTGCTGTGACACGCCCTGGCTCACTGGTGCCGCGGCTCCAGAGCTAACCCCTGCTCACTGTTCCTTCCCAGAGCACACCGGGATCATCTCCGTCAGCGTTGGCATCTTCCTCCTCATCTTATTGGGCACCATCCTCCTGGGCACCCTGCTGCTCTGCGCATACATGAAGAAACCCGTCAGGACCCCGGCCATACTGGTGAGCCCCGACACGAATGGGCCAGGTGTCTGCCCCACCCTGCACGGCTGTTCCGCGGGAGCTCAGAGCCTTTTGGTTTCCCGGCTCCGGGAGCCGGGTCTCTGCCAGGGCAGGGGGCTGACTCAGGGCTTAAAGCCCCCAGGCCTAGCTTTGGCTCTTGCCACTAGTCCATGCTGCCCAGGTTTCCAAAGCCCCTCTGTTTTCCTGCCCCGGGGGGTGGGGGTGTCCAGAGACCAGCAACAGGAGCACAGCTCCTCAAAGAGCGGCAGCCACTGCCAGCAGTCCGTCAGCAGGGCTGAGAGCCAAGCCGCAAACAGACACGGGGGACAAAGGGCAAGCTAACCCTCCTGCTTCTTCCTGCCCCTCCCAGAAGTCTCTCCTAAAGCCCTCCGGGGCGGAACACGAGCCCTTCCCCCTGGGGGCCAGCGGGACGGTGTTGTGCCTGGACGAGGAGCCCATCCAGCAGCTCTCCGTGTGCCAGAAGGACTCTGCGCCGCCCAGCAGCACAGAGAGCAGCTCCAGCAGCGCCCCGCAGCCCCCAGCCTGGGGCTGCGTGTTCCTCACCTTCCCGGACGGCCCCGGGCACCTGCCGGAGCTGGAAGGCCTGGCCGGGGGGGACAGCAGTTGCAACAGCTTGGACAGCGGAATCAGCCTGCAAGACTCTTCCTCCGGCCTGAGCCAGTTCTCGGCCAGGCAGCAGCCGGGGGGCGACGACAGCGGCGTAAGCCTGGCGGGGACGTGCTCCCCCGGCTGCAGGGACTACTCCGCCATGGAGGAGGGGCTGGGGCAGCCTGAGGGAGAGCGGGCCGGTTCCCCTCCGGCCCGGGGACTCAGCCAGGAGGCTGCAGCGTTTCGTGGGTACCTGAAGCAGCCGAAGGGCACAGCAGACGGGCAGGGCCACAGAGCCAGGGGGGTGCTGCCCCCACAGAGCCCTGGCGGGACAGACGTCTCGCTGGAGACGGGCTGCTCTGAGCCTGCCTTGGCCAAAGGCTACTTGAAGCAGGCATTGCCGGGGCCACCCTGTGGCGGCGCAGACACGCCGCTCACCGGGGAGTCGGGCCTGCTGGGCTTCCCCAGCTCCAGTCTGCTGCACTACGGGGCGCTGGGCATCACGGGACCCTCGAAACCCCTGCCCGAGGCGCCCAGCGCATGGGGCCTCTTCAGCACGGACCTGCTGCG